ACAAATTTCAGCTGAAGCAGTCCTAATCCCTAAATGCTTCACTTTACACCCCTATGGCCATGGAAGTAAACTGAACACATGAATTCAGTGATTCAAGACTTCTGGCAATATAGCCCATGGTCTAGTACCTACAAACTAGACCATAAATAAAACAATCGTTATCTGATAAGAATATTTGTGGGTCTTATGGATGTGTTAATGGAGCAGGTAGAGAAAGTAAGAATTAGGAAATTGAAGGAATGTAGAGAGCAGGGAGTCCCTGGTGATGAGCTTATCTGCTGGAGGAATTACTCAAGGGACTAGCCGAAAAACTAAAGTGTGTCACTACACAAGTTGCCCTCCAGGTCTGACTGTCCTCGATAAGAGAACTGAACTAACTTCTTTAGCATCCTACTCAAAAACCACAAAACATATATTTGAGCGTGTTCAATTTTTTTTAAAAGTTGAAAACAATCTACAGTCATCATTTGTCAAATGTTGTTGTGGGGTGATCATGTAAAATGTGACTTGAACTCAACCAAAATGTCAGTTTCTCGATTGTTGACGCTTCTTTTGACTAATTTTTTAACTTTTATTTAGAATACAAAAATGTAGCCATTGTCACCGTGTGAACTAAAACAGCAAAGAGATAATATATCAAAAATATCCTTTGTGTCTAATTAATCATTTTGTGCACCGTTTTCATATCAGTCCTTGTGACCAAAACCTGAATCAGTTCAGTTAGATGAGGGAAATGAGGGGAGCAGAAAATGAAAAGGGCACCAAGTGCTTTAGTTTATCCACTCATGTGATCCCAATCAGCCGCGTTGTCAGGCTTTTCATATAAAAGACAACTTTAAAATCTCCAAGTTTTAAACAACACTCTTTCCTATTTTGCATATGTATGAGTAAAACAAAACTGCATTTTCTTGTTAAATGTTGTTATGGGTTAAAAAGACAGGACGAAAGGAGAAAGGAATGGACAAATAAAGTTTTGATGGTTGCTTCCGGTTCAGATGCCACATTTGTTGTGATTCCTGCAGAGACGATCCCGTCTCACTTTGAACAAAATCAGCTATCCAAACCAACTGTTTTATTGTAACTTTCGTTCTCTGAAGAGAGGTTGCACACATGATCATTCCTACAGTAACTCCACCAGGAAAAATGTAGATAAACTCCATGTTTGTTTCCAGCTGTATGTAGTCTATCTTGTTGTCCAGCGGATGAACATTAGCAGGAAAAAGATGTGGTTTAATTGCTTTATACAGGTCAACTTTAGGCCAGTCTTGGCTTATTGCATCTGCGGTCCAGCCTCTGTCTTCAATCAAAACCGCTGTGTGCATCTTTACTGTTAGAACTGCTGCCCCCTCCTCCATAGCCCCTGTTACATCCCATACTGTAAAATCTAACAAAAACAGATCGTTTTTGTTAGATTTTCTTGGAGTTGGAGAGGCTACGCTAACTAGCATGTCACCATTTTGAAAATTCTAAAGCCTCTAAATTCTTCCTTGATTCCACATTGAAATAAAAGTGAAGTTTCTGTTAAAAAATATATTGTTTTCAAATAATTTCTTTCCGAAACATTGCTCAAGTGTTTTAGAGTAGTAATTTTTACTTAAAAGCATTAGCCTCCGCTACCTAAAGTAGATAGCCTTTGCATTAGCATGAACAAACAGTTCCTGCTTTTATGAAGTCCAATCCACTTTACTTCTTTGTCAAATCTTAAGTTTCTTATCAACATAATGATGTTTAGTGAGTTAATTATATTAATTCGCTTTATACTGTGGATATATTTGTCCAAATATGTCCAAAATATCTCAAAAAATATATCCTAGCTAGCAAGCAAACAAGCTTGTGTATAAGTGGCACAGTTAGCAATGTTTGAGGTTGAAATCTTCAAATTGTTTTTGTAAATTGACTATTTTTTGGTTTGTTTGTTTTTTGAGTTTTCTCCAATCCCTCTGACATCATGCGACGTCCTGAATAGTGTGGGAGGAGGAGGGAAACATATTAGTGCTTGTGACTTTGTGTTTTCTGTCTGTGTCTGTGTGAAGCAGTGGACGCGTGCGATTTAGCTGCATGGATCTGTGTGACGAAGCGCACTCATTCTTCTCAAGAATGCTTGTGGGCAGAGGCGAGGCCAGTAACAAGGGGCGATGGGAGAAAACGAAGTGGGGGAGGGAGGGAAGGACGGAGCCATGATGCAGGCGTGCTAAAAATAGCACCACCTCCATATCCCTCCTGCCTCCACAATCCCTGCATTCTTTCCGCAATCTCTTCATCCTCTCCATCCCTAATGAAGAAGACATTATGTAGATTCAGGTGTCAGTTTCATCCTCCAAACAGCGAGAGCAGGGCGGGGTGGGGGAGTTTCAGCGAGAGCGATGAAGATACGGAGGGAAACATACTCACCGACTAACTCTTCCAGTCCCCGATTGTATTGAAATTATTGGAAATATAGTCCGTCTTTCTTCAGTCAACCTGGAATACACAAGGTTCTGGGTTCAATTCCCGGCCCCGGTCTTTCTGCTTGGAGTTTGCATGTTCTCCCTGTGCATGTGTGGGTTTTCTCTGAGTACTCCAGTTTCCTCCCACAGTCCAAAAACATGAGGTCAGGTTAATTGGCCTTTCCAAATTGCCCCTAGGTGTGAGTGTGTGTCTGCATGGTTGTTTGTCTCTGCGACAGACTGGTGACCTGTCCAGGGTGTACCCTGCCTCTCGCCCGGAACAATAGCTGGAGATAGGCACATGTGTTGTATGTAAACTTCTGGTTTCAACTGTATTGTGTGCCTTGACTCAGCTCAAGCAATGTGGCTGTTTTTACATGATGTCAAAAGTGTAGAGGAATATATACATATGATATATAAGGCCGATATATGTTGGCCATAACAGTATATCGGATATCGATATCAGCCCAAATTTTCACATCGGTGCATCTTTAGTGTTTCACCTTAGAGATATTGACACATTTCACGTTGCAGTTTGTCCTCAAACACTGAGTAGATGTGAAACATCATCATGCGCTACAGTGATGTCACCACATCTAGAAGTCACTTTGATGTTTTTCTCTATAAATGCTTTTTGGATCCTGTCTCTCTCTCCCTGCCCAAGTCCCATCTAATACCAGAATAAAAGCCACTCGTGCCTCAGAATGAATTAATAATGAACTGTTTGCCTGCGGACATGTTCAAAACTCCAAACCCTGTGCTCAGCTTGGTTTTGATGGAGCTTATGAGAGGATGAGCTCTCGGTGTCTGTGCTGAAATGAGTGTCTTGTGTGATTTTTTTTTCTCCTTTTGTTTCGCTGTCATTCTCCACTCATACACCGACACACCAGCTGAATAAATGGAGCCACTCACCAACCTCAAGGTTCACTTCCAACCTTCTGTCTCTGCTTCACACTCCCGGTCGCATTCACGAGTCCATCGCTCATCTCAGGAAAGTCCACAAACATTCTCTTTCACGCGGACGCATGGAGTTCCCGGGAGGATTTGACAGCTGGATGGAGTTTGTCTGATCTGCTTTTATCAACAGGAGTATGAGTCTGACTGCTAAAAAATAAATAAATAAATAAATAAAATGAAATAAAAAAATAAAGCTGGGTTGTGGGATCCTGTTTGTTTGTATGTGTGGTGTCATATTGACAAGGGCGTTTCTGCGACGCTGCGCTGTGGAAGTGAGCAGAGAGGGGGGATTAGATGGTATCTTAGTAACCTGCTCTTCGTATTGACTCCATTTTGTAGCCTGTTGTATCATCTGTCCTTTTGGGAAATGGAAAAAAAAAAGGAGCGAGAGAGGCGAGAAAAAGAGATGCAGGAAGAATTATGGAAGAAACATTGTCGTTTTATTTACTTTTCAGGACCAAAGAGGGGGAAAAATCATCAGAAAATAAGTCTGTTGCTTTTTTTTTTTTTTTTTTCTCCAATGCACTTAGCCTCATACTGCAGGCAAATTGATGCAGCAGACACAGTGGGATGCTATTTATCATTGGAAATGCACTGGCAGCATTACAGACAATAGCAGGAGTGCTTTGTTTATCTAGCTTTATGTTTTTTACTCGCATTTAAAATGTGTGTAAATCGTAGAACTCGCTGAAAATAACTACTTTCAGCTCTGAAAATGAGGAAACGCATCACTTTCTATCTGTGGTAAAACTGGTGGCAGGAGAATGAATGAGTCAAATTTTCCTACAAAATTAATAAAAGACAATATTTTCCCATTACACAATCCAGTTATGTCCAAAATGTATGACTGTTCTCTTCATGTGGTTCATTTCAATACAGTTTGATCCGGGTTTTAATCTAATTATAAGTAGCTACAGTAAAATGCCGTCATATTAAGTTGTTCACTTGTTCAAATAATGTCTATTTATGGGAAGCAACCGATTTAGTCTGTCTTGGTTTGTTAGTTGTTAAATATAACCTGTGATGAACTCTTGAGCAAGCATGAGGTGACAGTGGAGAGGAACAACTCCCTTTTATTCATTTTCCCTGAGTAAAATACGATGAAAACTTTACTTTTTAAAGTCAAACCTTTATAGATTTTATAAATTCCAGCTCTCGAAAATGAAGAATGAAGAAATGAAAACACAGTTTTATTTTTATTTCCAAGACTTTGAAAAAACAATCTGTCTCAAAAAGAAGATGAATATACTGTTTTAAATTACTTGTTGTTTGATGATGGAGACGAAAGCAGCAAATAGTTTGGAACCTAGTGATAAATCAAGAATGAACTAAAAAAATTTTTTTTTTTTCCCAATTCCTTTTATTTTGTTGCAGAAATCCATTGTAGGTATTGTCTACAAATTGATTTTTTTAAAATATAATACGACTTTTTTTATGTTTTATGATTAAAAACAGTGCACAAAGTACTAGTCCTTATTATTTTAGGTCCAATTTTTTAAGTGTTTTTAATTCTGACACCTGACTTCCTGCTCATAGCTCATTTTTTTCCTCTCTGTACGTCTCCTGGTTTTTATCTCTACGTTTCCCTGATAGCTTTTCTCGTCTCTTCCTCTTCAGCTCTTCTCCATCGTGATCTTCGGCTGCATCGCCAACGAGGGCTACATCAACCGGCCCAACGAAGTGGAGGAGTACTGCATCTTCAACCGCAACCAGAACGCCTGTAACTACGGCGTGTTCATGGGCTCCATGGCCTTTCTCTGCTGCGTCGCCTTCCTGGCCCTGGACGTCTACTTCCCTCAGATCAGCAGCGTTAAAGATCGGAAGAAGGCCGTGCTGGCTGACATCGGGATTTCAGGTAAAGACACACTTCTTCTTCTTCCCAACAGATGAGCTTTAGCCTCCATTTTGTCATGTTGCTGTCCCAGACTTAACAGTAAAATGGATGGTGCTAAATACAGGGCATTGCTTTACAGAAAACCCAAAACATACAGCCAGAAATTAAATAAAACAACTTAGATCAAAGTATATTATTTTTTTTTTTTTAATGGCCGACTCAAAGTCCAGACCGAAATTCAATTTAGAGTCTGTGTCAAAGCTTAAAAGATGCCTCAATAGGTGCATCCAAAGAATAAGGAAATATGTTAGAAGTTTCATAAATATTAATACATTTTATTACTTAGTATTTTAATACAAAAATAACAAAAACAAATCTAATTTCTCTTCTGCTTCTCAGTTATGCAACACTTGCTTTTGGTCTATTGGGAAAAATCATAAAATTCAATACAGTTGTAATGTGAAAAAATGTGAAAAAAATCCTATTTACATAAACAGAAATTTACATAAATTTGCTAAATTAAAAAATGTTTTGTTTAATGCTGTTTTTCACATATTTCACAGCTCTATTACAGTCAAAAGTAAAATACATTTTACCTTTTACTATTTTCATACAAACATAAAAACTAAATCAAAATTTCCTCAATCATGCAACACTTTTCATCGTTCTATTGGGAAAAATGATCAAACTTATTAAAGTTGATTGTAACAAACTGTGAAAAAAAGATGAAGGCACTCTATTTACGTAAATAGAAATGTACTAAACTAAAACATTTTTTTAATCCTCTTTTTTTTACATTTTATTTCTTAGCTCTGTTAGTCACTTATTGCTAAACTTATAAAAAGTCAGACCTCGAATCAGACCTCTTCTTTTGATTACCTTCGTGTTTGCATTTTTGTTTCGATTAAAAAGAACTGTTTTCCTTCTGTGCATTTCTTGCTGATCGCCGTAGTAACGCGTTATTTCACAGCGGCGAGCGTCTTTGGCGCAGCGTTTGTTTTTAAAGTGTGATCACAGAGGAGGGGAATGAAAGCGGTTGTTAAGCAGACAGCTTCTCCTCTGGTGCTAACAAGTCTCTGCGATGAGCTTCACTGTGTCAGACAGTCTGCCTCCCTGCTGCACTGCTTCTGCCCCCAACCTGACAAGATTGTCAAGCACAGAGGCTTTTTAATGAGGTACTTCCTGTCACAGACTATACTGCCTTTTGCTTTTTTTTCCCTGTGTGCACACACACACACATTCACACACACTCTCTTTCTCTCTTTCTCTTTGTCACCATATGTTTCCATGAAAGTTGGCAAATTAGTAAAACCAAAGAACTGCTGGAAGTCTGATCAGATGTTTCTGAATTTCTTGAGCTTGGCGATCTTGACTCGAGTATCATAAGCTTTGCTCAACCCTTGGTTAAACGTTTTGTTTGACAGATTGATTCCACGGTGTCCACAATTCTTAAAAACTTCTTAGACAGTCTTAAATCATGCTTATCCAAAATTAAGACCTTAAAATGTTTAAATTCATAAAAAGAAAATGCAAGTGGTCTTGATCACCGGTCTTATATTTTGTCTTGTTTATTTTGCGTAGTTTTATGGGGGGGTTTTCTCGCGGGATATTTCTGTCAAACAAACCTTTGAGTCGCACGCAGACAACCTCTGAGACTTGAGGAGTTTGAGGTTACCGCTAACTAGCTGGTAACTAGCTGGTAACTAGCTGGTAACTAGCTGGTAACTAGCTAGCTTTTTTGCCTCTATCATTAAGTGTAAATTTATCGCCAGTTCGTAGAACTGCCAAAAGCTTTTTGTTATATAAAATATGAAGTTTTTTTTTCTGATGTGATACAGCTCTTAAATTTAATTCGTAATGGCCTTGAAAAAATCTTCAATATGAATTGGTGAGACCAGCAGAAACCCCGGGATTCAGTCTCAGAGATTTGTACATCAAGAGAATCAAAATGAATTTGTCTTGTTTATAGCAATGGTGCATCAACCAAACGAGTTAATGATAATTGGAAAGATCCTGTTGACACTTTGTTCAGGGTCTGAACTCCTTTCTTTGTTTCTGTTTTCTCGTCCTTACAGCGTTTTGGTCGTTCATGTGGTTTGTGGGTTTCTGCTTTTTGGCCAATCAGTGGCAGGTGAGCAAGCAAGAGGACAACCCCCTGAGAGAGGGAGGCGACGCTGCTCGGGCGGCCATCACCTTCTCCTTTTTCTCAATCTTCACCTGGGTAAGAGCTTCATTTTGCTCTCATTAGTCCACAGATTATAGGACACTGAGGCATGAGCAGCCACAGAGCACCTGAAGACCAGACACACTGGTGGAAGCGTGATGTTACACGGGAAAGCTTAGCAAAATCCTACGTTTAATTTAAGAGTATTTAATCGGCCTGAATCAACTACATCAATTCAAGGGTGTTTTTACACCTGACAGTCAGGTAGAGTCAGTTTGATTGCAACATTGTGTCAAGCAATCCAAAGCAATTGAAAAACCTGTCACCCCCCCTTCGCCTGTGGTGGCGCTGCATCAAAAGAAAACAACACAAAAACCTCTGAAGAAGACATGAGGGCACCGACCTTCTTCATAAAATTTATTTCCATTAGGAAAAACAGACCTGTGAATAAGTTTTGACACACTGTGAAAGCCTGCTTCCAGTAGGGACATGTGAATAGATGACATTCATTTTGTAAGTGAGAGATTTAATTCATGTAACTAAACCATAAAAAAAAGCAGAAAATACTTTCTGTAAAACTTAATTAGCAAAAATGGTGAGATATTTCAGGCTACACTTACAGGTGCCTTCTCTTGTCTTTCCCATCTTATAGAATAAATTGCTTTTTAATTATTATTATTTAAGACAGTCTTCAGTTACATTTGTTTCATGGTGATTGTCAAAGTTACCAATAATTTTGAAACTGGCGGTCTTGTTGAAAACAATTATTTCCTAACATATTTAATTTAAAATAATCTCAAAATAAAAGTTGGATTTTTCTCTCTTTTTTTTCCCAGCGTGAAATTAAGATACTGCACCAAAACAATAATTTATTTGAAAACATTTTACACATCCTTGCCAAGTTGTAGTTAGCCATTAGCTTCTTCTTGTTTTGATGCGTGTCGCCCAGACGTCCGTCGTAAATGTGAACATTAATGACCTCACCAGAGTGCGGCTGTCTCTCCAACAGGGCGCTCAGACTCTCTTCTCTATGGAGAAACTAAAGAACGTGTCGTTTGAAGAGGAGTACACCAAGCTGTTCCCCCCTCAGCCACATCAACCTTTTGTCTGACTCTGCTCTGTCTCCCATGCCTGCTACCTGAACCCTCTGCAGCTGCTCACACACACCCCTGTCATGTTTTAGTGGCTGAACGTGTTTAGAGGAAGTGAATGTATGAAAATCTGAATCCTGACTCAGGCTCGTTTTAATAATTCTAGCAACTGATAAACCTGCATGTGTGACTGTTAAGCTAGTGGTCCAAAGTAACAAAGGCTGTTCGTTTCTTGACGTTATTAATGCACAGTAACATTTTGTCTTTTAATCAAAGACAAAATAAAAGATATTCGGCTCCGTCTCTCCGGTTTTCGACGGAAGCGTTAAGCGATTTAGGAAGTCGGTGGATTACCTTCAGCTTTCAGATGAGGTACTTCAGGGTTGAATGAGCAACAGGACATGATTTATTGATCAAGGAGGCTTTGGTGTGTTTCGCTCCCCTCAGGCAAATCTATGGATCTCTATTTTTTAGCATTTCTTTTTTTAAATAAAGCTATCTTTTCCAGAGTTTAGAGATATTGAAGTGCCATGCACATCTTTCTTTACCTGCACCACCTGACGGAGGTATTCATACTTCCAGAACCTGATGTGTCAACATGTTATTATATCCAATAACTTTAGTGTACCTTGTTGGAATTTTTAGTAGTGCATAATTAAATAGCTAATTAAATATTCTTAAAGGTTTGCAGGTGTAACTCTAGTGAAAGGTGGGGTAGAATGTTAATGTGTGTCAGCTTTGAGACTTTATTTAATGTAAAATTTCAAAATTATGTATGTATTTCTTCTAAAATACATCTAAGTATGTGCACTGAAAAAAGATAACAACGTTCTCTGCTGAATTAAGTTTGTCAAACTTACCTTATTTATGCTTATTTAACATGCCAACTGGATAAACATAATATTTAGTTGGATGAACTTAATTTAAGTACTTGCAACAAATTAATTCAGTTTATTTAAGGTGGGTCACCGGGTTTTGCAGATCAAACATTATTAATACTAGCGACTTAGGAAGTCTTGTATGCAGTTTGTTTTACTCTTTCATGGAGATTCATATGGATGCTGTGTTGCTAGCAGTTTTTTAGAGGCTGTCTAGTTTGATTTAAAAGGCAACAACACTTTCATTGGATATGTATTAGATGTATATGGATTGTTTTGCCTTAGCAACACACAGACACACTTCTCGATTGCATCAAGATAGTAGACCGAAGTAGAATTGAGGTTTCGTGTCTCCCTAGCTGCGTTTCCATTGCCCTCAAAATTGTGCAAATCAGAATTATGAAAATAAATTCACTCACAATTTTGAAAAAACTTGAGATTTTTTTATCATGCTAGGATGAGGCAGGGGGTGGGGGGTTCAGCCGTACCAAGATTGATGTGTTTCGCACAATTGTGAAACACATCAACAGAGTCACATGATCAACAAACCGGCTGTAATTACAGGCGAAAAATGTGAAGAAGACGACAGGAAGTGGGAGGATGATGGCATGGCACGTTTTTCAACAACTTATCATGTGAACAAACTTATTCCCATGTGATTTTAATTATGTTAATTAGCAAATGCACCACAATTGCAAAATTGTGTTAATTTGACATCAGCTGAATATTGACAAACTTTTCCGTACCTTCGCAAAGGAAACGCAGCTAATGACGAGCTCAACCAGATGTCACCTGCTTTGACTGACTAAATGGCTTCCCAAGGTTTCCGGCAAACTAATCAGTGTTTTCTTCCTGCTCTTTTTCTCTTCTCTTCCAAATGCTTCACTTAACACCACTGCTTCGAACTCTTGTCTCCTCGCCGTTTGATCGCGCCCCTTGCACCCTTGCTTGCTCTTCCACCTTCCATCTATCTCCGTCGTCCGTTTTCCCCAAAGGTGGGCCAATCGTTCCTCGCCTTCCAGAGATACAAGCTGGGGGCCGACTCCGCCCTCTTCTCCCACGAATACACCGACCCCAGCCAGGATGCGGCCGGAGCGCCCTACACATCCTTCGGAGGGGACGACTTGGAGAGCCCGGGCGGCGGAGGTGGCCAAACCAACAGCGACGGGCCCTTCGATGGCTCCGGAGGCTACCAGCGCCAAGACTACTGAGACGTCGAGGTTCAGATGTGCTTTGGGCTTGAGATGTTGTTGCCCAAACAGAAAAAGGAGAGAAAAATTCTAATTTGAATGAATATTTTTGTTGTTTTCTGTCACTGAAAACCACTGCCTCAAACCGACCCTGGCTACGGGTCTCTAATAATCGGAGTTCACGCAGTTCTGATGGGCTGTTTTAGACCGATGTTTGACACAACGGCTGAAAGTTGACATGGTAACTCAGACACGTGGGTTAAGATCTGTAACATATTGTCTCAAAGAATTAATATTGTGAGAGAACCATATTCTCTACCTTTTGTAGAAAATATGTAGAGATCTATAGAGATTTTCTAGCAAAGGTAGAAACTATGACACCAATGAGAGGAACAGTTTGTACCAATTACTTTTTCTGACTTTATTGTGTTGCTTGAAGCTCTCTCCATGTTTGGATTTATCTCTAGAATATGTTAACACGTATTAGCGCCCCTGGTCAAGATGCTTTAAAAAGCCTTAAAATAAGTCACTAACTCCAAGATGCACTTGTTTTTGTTGCATATTGGCAACCGTGGAGCACTGTTTTTTTTTTCCTCCCTTACTGTCATGGTTGCTGTGCATGGTGGTAAAATGGAGTTGGGATTAACCTTTTGTTCCTATTTTAAACCTTTTAATTGTTACTCTGACGGTAGACACGGCCAAGTCCAAACTGGAATCTGACAGTGAATCTGAGAAGGATGTTAAAATTAGGGTGATGGCAGAGAATCCGTCCGACCTCAAGTCGTGGAGCTCATTGTCAGAGATTAACTGTCATAATATCAGCAGAAATATGCAAAAATGTCATCAGCAATTACAAGAGGGGTGAGTCCAGCAATGCCATTCAAAGTTCGCTGATTATTAAGGAGGGTACAAATAATTTTTGACAATTGACACATAAACAAAGACAGATAATTCATATTTTTCGAAAGTCGTACTCCTTTTGTAATGTATGATCTTTTTAAGGAAACTTTTCTGTTTTCTTTCCTATCAGGAACAAACCTTTAAGTTGAATGTAGAACGATTATGGCTAATTATTGGCGTAACTGTACTTCTTTAAATAAGAAGAGTGACATTAATTTTCCTTTCATCAATGGCAAGTTTTCTTTGCATTTACACCCAAAAGGCAGGGCTCAGACTCTTCGCAGAATTACATTTAATAGTCCAATTATAGTTTATATTATTTATTGAATAACACTTTGAATTAGGGGTTTTAGAATGTGACAGCCGTAAACAAAGAGTTGAAACTGGATAATTTCTCTCACTTGCTCATTTGTTGTTGCCAGTCAGGTATAGTGTATGGTGTTTCAAAACAGACTTAGCAGAGTTCAAGAAAAAAAAGTGGATTTATTTAAAGATTTATTTAAAAGCACCTTCAGAAACCTGCTAATTACTTGTTGACATTTATTTACAAATGGTGGCGAGGTGATGAAAACTGAGGAAAAGCTCAGAAAAAGAAGCAGAAATGATTAAACTAAATCATCAGCATTGATGTGTGAAACTATGAAAAACATTTCTTCAGCTGCACCGCACTACACTTTACATTTAGACGTGGTGGCTTTCTTGCTTATGTTATTATGACTATTATTATTATTATTATTATTATTATTTAGAACTAGTATTTTAGAAGCAATGTTGTCATTTTATAAATTGGCTCAAATCTTTGATGAATTAAACTACAAAAAACAACAAAAACAAGTGGTGAGAAACAAACTGAGAATTGGAGTGGCTCTTGGGGGACCCCTGCTGGCTGGAGGCCTTAAGCAGCAATGATTTGCTCATGTCCCTTCCTGTTTGCCCAAGGAAACAGGAAATAGTGTTTTCCTAACTTAAAGTTCCCATGTTCCCAAGGAATTAAGTATAAAATGACCAAAGGAAAGGTTAGGGTTCAAATAAGTGTGGTACTGGTAATTTTGTACATATATAAAAAGAATTGAAGGAATTTAATTTTCTCTTCTGAATAATTATACCCATAAAAGGCTGTTTTTTCCCATTTTGTCTGAGATGATACTACTTTAAAAAAAATTTATTTATTTCAGGGCTTTTTAAACATTTTTTGCCAGGGGTTCCAATGGATGCGAAGACACTGCGGTCGTGGTTTACACTTTGGAGACAAATGTGATGTGAACAGGTGTGGTAAAATGTTTTGAAATACATGAATTAGTTGGATAAAAATGGTTTGGAAATGGAGGGAACTATACAGAGATTGTGTAGTTATGGGGAAATTATCACCCTTTCAAAATCAATACTTCTGATCACATTGTTTTCTGCACAGTCAGCTCAGTAACGAAAATCACTGTTAGCTCTATAAACTCCCACATCCAGAGCAGGTAATAAATTAAGACTAGATTGATTTTTAATGAGATACGGTTTATTGCAGGAAAAAGCATATCTGGTATCTAATAACAGTGTATTTACGTGTGTGTGTGTGTGTGTGTGTGTGTGTGTGTGTGTGTGTGTGTGCGTGTTTATTGCAATGTTTTGTTTCCCTGATACTTGTATGTGAGACAGATTTTTTTGTTTTCTGTTTGGTTTTTTTGTTCAATTGTTGCCTTAGTGCTGACTGCCAAGCAAAGTGCAACCATCAAAGGTGACACACACTTGTATGCCCGACGTCCCAACTTACACTTTTCTCTCCTAACCTTTCCCCACTAAAGTTCATTTTCTGCGGCTTTGGTCTCGGAGGGAACAAAACCGAGTGAACAAAACCAAGCTTTAGTCAAAATGATGCTGCATTGTCAATGCCACACATGTCGACGTTATCAAAAGAACTCTTCATCTCGGTTTTGTTTCAACAAAAGGATTCAACCGTGAACCTCCTGAGTACTTATGAACACGCATTGCTCTATTTTCTTCTACAGTAATGTACACCTATCTCTCTCTATAAATATATACATATGTGTAAAGCGATAATTCAGTGTTCGACAGAGAGATTCTGCTTTATTTTAGGGCATTACGCTAGTTATGTATAATAAAGAAAAAGTAATCATGAAAAGACAAGATAAAGAAATTCTATTGTCTGTTGAGTGTTATTGTGATAAGATATATATGACGGAGCTGTCTATGCCTCGTCTTTTATGTTGCTTTTAAGATAGGGAGATGTTTTTATTTTTGGGATAACAATACAATAACTACTAAAATAAACAAAAAGAGAGAAAAATTCTAAAGTATATTTACCCACATTGTACTTTATACCTCTGTGTAGTCGTAGAAATGTGTGATGTTTTCTCTGTGAGATTTGTTAAACAAGGCAAGGTACGGCTTAAGAACAACAGTGTGTGTTTTTGATGTATCTGATTTCAGTCATAAAAATAAAGAAAATTCTGATAAACATGTCAGGCTTCTGGTCTTGGTTTTCATTTCGCTGGCACAGCAGAGCGGAAATGTGAAGTGGAAGGAGTGACCCGCGGTTTGCGCATTTTATTACGTACACATTTCTGAAAAGCAAGGCATTTGGTTTGTTTGTAGCCCATCTGAGTAAAAGAAGAACCAGTTTTCCAGAGAGTTACACAAGCTGGCCAGCCTGGTAAAAACTAGCTCCTTGTTCTACGCTTTACTATATACAGTGTCTGAACCCTATTAAGAAACTATTGCTTCCTGGAGGTGGTGAAGCTTTAAGTTTTACCCAGTCGCTAACGTTTAGCCGTTGACGTACTGTATGTAATGCACCAGTTCAATGTTATGAAGCTTACTAGAAATTGCCTGCGCTGTAAACATTCATAGCCCACTGCAAAGACAGGAGATGGCTGTTAATGTTCAATATTTGGAGGCGTGGTCAACACGGACTGAACGTCTTCTTTCACTTCTTCTGCTGCCATTGCTGAAGCTGCAGGCATACTGCAATTATAAAAAGGCACAAAAAATTCATCGTTCACTATTTCTCTTTCTGTTCGCTGATTGGCCCGGTATTCTACCAGAGGAATCCAAGACAGAGTGAGAAATGCCAAACAGAACATTGAAGGCGGTGCGAATCAAAGTGGAACTGTGCTGGAAGGAAATAGCCAGGCTAACAGTTGCACCAATCTCAAGTCTTTTATGATCTCTAGCTACTTTCCTTCATGGATTGTCCACAGATTACTTTTTCTCATCAACTGTGGCCAGCTTCCCTTTCAAGGGCTCTTTCTGTCACATATTTTCAATGTTTACAAAACAGTGGAAAGGATTTCTCTTTACTTTTTTTTACGAAAAGACTTTCTTCTTCCCACTCTTTCACTAGCCACAGATATTAGAGGACACCTTTGCAGATTTCTGTTTGCCTAATGGTCTCTTTGCCAAGCTAGCCAGTTTAGGTAGAAGCTAATGTCTTTTGTAGGTGTGAAGTTGTGGTATACTTCCATTTTCAAATAATTTTTTCGGAGACGTCAGAACGGAAGATAATGGATGGATGGACAGATGGATGGACAGATGGTTGGACGGATGGATAGATGGATGGATGGATGGATGAAAAACCTTCTGTTTGCACCTGCTACCGTGCAGGATTTGCTGTTGTAAATTCCACAATTTTAGTTAACTTAGTTAAGTTCTCCAGAGTCCTGCTGCTGACGTGATTATCTGACTCATATCATATGTGTTGAAGCAGAAGCAGTCTAAAAGTCACGGGGCACCGGACCTTGAGGCCTGGATTTAAAGACCTCTACAAAATCAAAATCTGTGAAGATCTTCGGTGTGGACCTCTTCTCAGCTGGTTGTAGTTCATTACAATAACACACGGTGGCAGTATTGTTAAAGGAACCACTCACGATGAAACCACTCCATACTGTTGAAGATCTGTCTTCCCTGTCTTTCATTTGCAACGCATTTTTAATTTTAAAAAGAGGAAAGCGATGGTAATTGTTACCATAAAACATTTTTAAAATGTTATTGTATTATAGTTTATAATAAACTGAAGCTAAGACCTTAAGTATGTTGCCTTCATAGGCAGCGGTATTGTGTCAAATGACTAGAATCCAGAATGTACTCCAAGAAAGCTCCCGACAGAGTCATATCAGGAATTCAAACTAATAAAAATATAATAGAACTAATAAAAGCCTTTGTTGCGATTTTTAATTTCCTAACATCAAAAAATGTGCATTTGTGTAGTCGAAGTTAACAAATCGGACACTGCGGCATGATCCTGAACGCAGCAAATAGCATCCAACATGGCGGCAGAGCCGAAGACTTTGATGCAAAGCGTAAGTGAAAAGTGTTGTTTATAGCTGTCACTGGCAGCTAATGTTCCTCATGGACATTATTTTAACCCCATTTGTGTCTCGCGGGGGGTTTTGCTGCTTACTTTGGCTCTTTCCTTGGCAATTATTGCCTTTTAATAATGCCAGTTGCAGCTATTTTTAGCAGAGCTCATTAGGTGCCTTGCTAACAGTAAGCTAACCAACAACACTTTAAAACGACTGGAAAATAAATATACTTGAGTTAACAAGAAGCAGAAGGAGTGATTATCAGTCAAAAGGCGCAGTAATGCCACTGAACCGTGTTTTTCTGGTCTTATTTATTTCTTTACAGCGAACTAGTTAAGTACACTTGTACTATTTTATTACTTAATCATAACACCTGGGGGAGTTTCGGTTTAGCACTCAACTCTATTTTCCTGCTTTTTAAAATAGCTGTAGTTAAACATATTACATGAGCAGACATGTCATTTAGAAATAAAAAGTTAAAATAAACAAATATTTACACATCTTTTCTTGTGCTGTTTTTCTTTTTCTTTTTTTATGCTTGCAGCAGCAGCAGAGCTGGACAGATGACCTGCCTCTGTGTGAGATGTGTGGCGTCGGAGTGGCGCCCAACTGTGTGTACAGCCAGGATGGTAAAGGAGCCCAGAGCCACCCCATGGAGGACAGGCATCTCAGGCTGAGGTGTGTAAGATAGAGCAGCTGTGAGGGGGAGGTTGGTGCACTTCAACTGATTGTGAAACATTTTCTTTTCAGAAGTTGCTAGGGTAGTGTTCAGTATGAATTGGTTGTAACCTTGCTTCTCCAATTAACAGATGTATTTTTATTTTTCAGATGGTAAATATTCTTAAAGACTGTACAAAGGGCTTACAGGGGCGGTAGCCCAGGGCGGCAATTTTTCTGGGGGCCTCAAAGACTTTTTTCTTTATTTTTTTATTTTTTTATGTTTTGCAAACACTGCCATTTATATAAGACTCAGAGACCCAAATCAAGTTGAGTTGTATGTATATATATATATATTTTTTTATGAATATAAACAATACTCAAGTATTTGGAATGTAATGAAGATGCATTAAACCTTGTTTATGTCAAATATTACTTTCATGTTGAATTTATTTGTTTATTTTTTTCCAGCAGTAATTATTTTTAGGCAGCTAAACATTCTGGTTATGTTATCCAGGACTAGCTTTGGGTTAGTTTTCAAAAGTTGGTTCAAACTTGTCATATGAATCTTGCAGTCTACTGTAAGGTGGCATCAAAGTTGGGTAACCAAAGTATAAAGCCATTGGACTTTACTCGAAAAATTTAACTCCTTAAAGTTATCAAGCTAGTTAAATATTATTATCAAGCTGTTAACTATTTTTTTTTTTTTGTAATTCCTTTTAGACTTAAATTTGAATATGGCATTACTGCTCTCAAAACGATCAACTCTTGTCATGATCAACGATCAACTCAACGCTCATGTTCCTTGCGCTTTGTCATCCAATCAGAGGCGAGAACTGTTTCCTCTATGGCGTTTTTAACGGCTATGACGGCAGCAGGGTGGCGGACTTTGCAGCCCAGTGTCTGACCGCTGAACTCCTACTCGGGGAGCTCAACTCAAGTCACACAGACAGTGACGTCCGCCGGATCCTCATTCAGGTCTCTGACTGTTTACTGGTCTGTCTGTCTGTGGAGTCACATCTCTTCTGTGAAACCTTTTATCCGTTGAGTTTTTTCGCTTCTGATTTAGCAGTTTTATCATTTTTTTGTAGCTCCTCTCATGTGCTACGGAGCCGCTGAGTGAATTATAATACGTGTTCTCTTTGTTACAGGCCTTTGAGGCGGTGGAGGAGAGTTACTTTAATACAATAGGTGATGCTTTGGCTAAAAAGGCTCACCTGTCCAACTACCTCCTGCCACACAATGAGGTATGCACACATAGAGAGGTGACTTTATGATACAAAAAAAGCAGTGATGTACATAAGAACATCAGGTTACGGCCTCATCAGTCTGACTCAGCTCTCCTTCGCTCGTTCTAGTTTTTCTTGTTTTTCTGCTGTTTTCCTGATTGTTTCAATCGATTTGAATTTTTTATTTTTTGCGTTCGGTTTCACTTGCTTTACCCACATAGATGCACCAATCCACTTTTTTTTCCACTTCCGATACAGACATCTGAGGTTTGGTATCGGCCGAAATCGATCCGATACAGAAAAACAGCTGAATTGACTGAAAACAATTTTTTTTAAAACACAATGTACTGAATTACAGAGTTCTTAAATATACCAATGGCTTCGCAAGCTTGGTCAAACATGTAAAAACAACACAAGTTTAATCTGTGTATTTAGTAGAATAACAGCCAATGTAAAATAAATAACAAGAGGAACTGAAACTGACAAAAATAAACTGCAACAAACGGTTCAGAAAGTTCAATTAGGATTTCTAAATGTAATGGAAAATAAACAATAAAGCATGACGTGGCTCAGAGCATAGAATCAGACTGCATAGATCTGTCCTTATGGATCAGGCACGTTGTCACCGATACCCAGTCTAGAATTTTTTTCAATATTGCGACCGATCAGTGCATCTCTAGTTATCCTGTCTGGTTTTTTTTTTATTGATTTTCTCAGTTTCTTTCGTCTCCGTTTCTCCGGCTTCCTACCGTCATCATCTGTTATTTTTATTTCTCTGAATGCTTCCCGGCTGGTCAGAATGTGTCGTCCCACAGTCTCTCTGTCTGTCTGTCTGTCTGTCTGTCCTCAGAGTCAGAAGGTCCAGGAGCGCCTGAAGGAGCTGGAGCAGGAGGTGTCAGGAGGCGCTACGGCTGTGGTGGCTCTGATTCTCAACAATAAGCTCTACATCGCCAATGTTGGTATGCATGCATGTTTTATTTATTTAAAATTTTACACTTTCTGAGAGGTATTTGTTTATTTGCAGCACTAAAGAGGCAGTATCTGCCTGCAAAGGATCATTAAAATAGACTACTTCCTGCTTTCCACCAGCAGATGTCAGACTTGATGCAGATTTGAGTCGTTGATGTACAGAAAATCTGATATAAACATTACAGTGAAACTTAAATTCTAGTTAAGTAATCATTTAAACATTCAGAGTTTCAATCCAAACTGTGTTTTCAGTATCAGTTGAGTCAAAGTTTGCTGTCATTGCAAAAGAAAAAAACCAGAATACCATGTGTTTTTGTGGTTATTTAGAATATTCTAGAACTATTACAACGTTTCTGTCTGTTATCTAAAATGTGACATGTACTGATGGAAAAGATGATTTATTCTCATCTACATCAGGAAAATAATGTCCAACTGGTGCATTTTAGCTTTCTAGACTGAAATGGTTTTGCTCAGTTTTGGTGTGTGACACTCTTGGTGTCGCTGCAGCTCACTTGCTCCAGGACAAACCCTCCGATCTCCTGAGCCATCGACGTACCAAACTGCTCCAGGTGTCACAGATTAACTGTGATTGACTCTCGATGTTTCAGCCGCAGCAGAGCTGGCGCTAGTGGTGGAGGTGCAGAAACTTCCCAAACAGAGACACAACGTAGACTGTGAGCAAACTACTGAGCACAAACGTTCAACAATCCCGGCGGTTTTCAGTCTCTGTCTGTCCTGGAAACCTAAAGGAAGGTTTAATCTGGCGTAGACGAGACATAGATCAGTAGCTGTAATGTCAGTAGATCTGCTGTCATTCCATAAAGCAGATCCTACAGGCGACTGCGTGAAGCTGGGGAACTTTGTTTGCTTGATTGCACAACTGTTTGAGCAAATACCAACCCAGTGCCTGAAGATGCAGAACAGACATTTCAGCTGTTAATAAATAATGACATACAGTATGACACAGAGCATGTTAGGGAAGTAGCTGTAAAAATAAAGAGCGTTGACGGATAGGTTTGTTTAACGTCCCAGTCGGTTTGTCTTTATAAAGTCATTAGCGTGTAAGCAAAAGACGAGATTGTTCCTTAGTTTGGATCAAACTTTGAAGGAAGTCAGACTTAGATCCAATTCTGACTCTATGTATTTGATTTTGGATGAAGTTAAAAAAAAAAAAAAAACAAATCCTGTTTACTTAGTGACTAATGCAGTATTTAGCAAAAATAAAAATAAAAAGTGCTAGCTTATGTTTAGGACTGATTCCTTACATGTAGGAATGGCCGCTGGGAGGATCAGGAGTTCAAAGTTTAGCAGGAAGGTTTGAACCGAGACATTAGTGCGTTTTGTAAATGACTCCCAGCTGTTTGTCTGCGTTGAACACATCAGAGCCGGGTACGTGTGGAGCGAAAAGCTGTGCTACATTAACTTTCAACATTTTTGCTCACATGAACATAAAACTTTGCTCGACAAGAGGGCGGATGTTTTCTTTTTCTTTCTTTTTTTTTCTGGTTGAGGACAGAGAAGCCTGATCGTGATTGACATAAAGCAAATTGGCTGCATTGACTGGCCTTGTTCGGCTGATTAGAACGTTACAACACAGCTTGAGGCAGTTTAGGGATATGAAATCTGTTGGTTGCTCTGGACCTGCATGTAGCATCTGCTTACTGACCCAGAAATGTAATTTTAAAAGTTAATTAATCATTGATCTGTCTTATGCTTCCCCAGCTAGAAGACCGATTTTTTTTTTTAATTGGTTTTTTATTTTTTTAGCCTTTTTCAAAGTAACTTCAGATGAAGTTTTTCAGTGAAGTTTAATGATACAGCAGAAGTGTCTTTTCTTTGCTCTATGAAGCATGTTGACCCTGTAATCATTTTTGCAGTATTGATAGCAGAGCTGCTTTGATGTTTTAGACATTAAAGTCAGTTCTCGATATACAAACATCTCCACTCAAAGCGTTGTGAACTTTATCCAGTCGTTTTCAGTTGTTAAGATTCAGTACCTCTAACATGCTGGTTTCAGCTCTGCTTGTTTGTGACATTTTTTAAGATGATCAAAAAATGTCCACATTAGACAGATAATGTAAATAAATAAGTATGTTATCCTCAGAGCAGATGAGAAAGAAAGACACTGATCCACTTTGTTCACTTCTGGTATCGATACAGATATCTGAGGTTTGGTGTCGGCCAATAACGATCCGATAATTTATTATTTATTAATGGAAAATAACATGAAGCTGTAGTGAAACTTCCCCACAGTGGTAGATAAACTGCAGTTCTTTCTAAAGGTCTTTTTTTAAACGACTCAGCAATAAGGAGGGCTGGAGAAAACAGGAGATTTCCAAGACAAAATTAAGTGCTGCTGACCAAAAAGAAAACACATTTTCTTTTCTTATTTGTCAAAAAACATCTTGATGGTCCCCGTGACATTTAAAAAATTGCTTTGCGATCTTATCAAAAAGTCTGTTATGACACCATTTGACATTTTTAGCATGGATGGAATAACTTTTGCAATAAGACTGCAGACTGGTATATTTTTAAAGATGGATTATTAGATATTTTGCAGCTGTTTGATCGTCATTCATCTAATTTAAGTTGCATTCGTTTACATTTTTTGTGTTTTTGTCTTTCTTAGGATCTCCCCAGAATTTGCTCTTTTTTGTGCGTTTCCCAAATTTAAATCCCTGAATGGTAAATAGGGAAAACCAATCATCGCTATGTTTAAGTTTGTGAACGTATGGATGGATTCAACATTCTCAGCCATGAACAAAGATGTTGAATTCATATGTGTAAAAACATAAATCATTCTAAAAAGAAAAAGAAAAAAAAGAGAATTGGAAAAAGAAACAAACGTTGATCATTTTGTAAGTTGTGCTTCCTGTTAAATCTGGTGTAAAAAATAACTTCATATGTTATTTTAACACTTAAACAGAACTAACAAAGGTTTTGAGATGGTCTAGTTAAAAGCGTGCAGCTAGAAAACTCACCTTTCTTTACATACAACCACTTTGGTTTAGTTTGCTTTTCTTAGTGTAAATCCTGATTTACGTAATAAAGTCACTTCTTTGTCTGGTGCTAAAATGATCTTTCATTACGACAAATAGAAGCAGAAGGGAGGAATTACTTTTTCACACCACAGGACACGATGTCTCCAACAGAAACAGTATTTTTTCTATATTTTTTTATATCAGATTCATAAATATCAGATTGTGCTGACCCGATCAACACTTATTTAACGTGTCGTTAAAATTCTTTGTTTGTGCCTTCAGGTACAAACCGGGTTCTGCTGTGCAAGTCCAGCAGCGACGGTCAGAACCAGGTCCTCCAGATCGGGCGGCCACACAGCACCGACAACGAAGACGAGCTACAAAGACTGGCGGCAATGGGTGAGGCGCGTTGACGTGCTCACGTCTGTGATGTGGTGGAAATGTGAAAATGAATGCATCAGGATCGCCATTACATTTATCCTGTGTTCCTTACAGGATAAATGTGTCATTTAGGCATCAACGTTTCTCAACGGAGCACAGACCGTCTCACATCGATGCTAATAACAAGCTCTGCTGAAGGAACAGTTTGTTCCATACAACAGGCTTTAACAGGACTAAGAAGTCCAGCCTGAACCCAACAAATACATTTGTCACTTTTTTAAACATTTGTAGCATAACAAAAGATAAGGTATGAGTTTTTTTTGTTTGTTTGTTTTGTTTTTTTTTTGTTAAATTAAATCAAATATTACAGAAATGTTGCTTTGGTCTGAGGCTGCAGTCAGTTATTTACTGGGGCCCAATAAGTCATTTAAATGTTGGCACAAAGACCCTATTTCAACTTTAAACGTGAAGAAATGCAAATTATTTTTATTAGTACTAGTAAAACAAATAGATAAAATGTTTTGCTTTTCAAGTAAAGCTGTCATTTTATGGAACAATCTCAACTGTGGGATAAAAGGGTCTTAATACTTTTCTGCATTTAGAATAAATTTGAAAGCCATTCTGATGAAGCGATATAGCATTGAATCATCTTTAGTTGGATATTTTTTGTGTATTTGAAAACCATCTGTAACAGTCTTCTGAGCTGAATGTCTGATTTTCTTTTTAAGGGGCTCATAATGTCACTTCATTCTTCTTTCTGCTCCTTTTCATTAACGGTTTCTTTCAATTTTTACATGAACTGTTTATATTTATTATTGAGTGAATGAAATGAAAAATAGTTTTCACTCAACCAAGTTTGCTTGTGATTGACATTGAGTCAGGGATCTCTCAAAAAGAGGATCAATTTAGAAAAAAACTCAGTTTTATTTAAAACGTTCGTGTTGAAAATTATTTCTAACATTCTCTGTGATCAATAAAAAGAACTGATATCTTCACTGGTATTACAGCCACCAAATCTTTCTTACTTTTGACCCGATTCTTGCTGGTCTCCACTTGCAATTTGCTGAATTATTTTGTGTTTGATGTTGACATCATCCTAAACTTTAACTTCCTTCACAAATTCTCTCTCAGATTCCAGCTGTACCTCTAGCTGGACCATTCAGAATTAGAATAATTGTGTTAGTAACTTAAAACATAACTTTAAACCAAAATCTGACAAGGAAATGGCTGATTATGGTCTGTTTAGGACCCATAATTATTTATTATTAGTCCTTTTTCATTGTTTAGTTAGGCTGGTAATTCAGATAATTTCTGAGCAAAGACTGAATATTTACATTAAATGTGACGTCTTATTTTTAAAAAAAGAATAATTTACATTTTGAATAATAAAATGTGGAACAAGTGAAGTGCTGTGAGTACGTTCCAGATCAGTCACATGAGTGTAATGTGTGATGTGAGAGCCTTTACCTTCAGGTTGTTTCCTGAGCCGTCATCCAGCGCCAGGCAAGGGGAGCAAGTCCAGCCTGGTGGCAGTTACACAACTTCTTCACATTTTGTCACATTACAACATAAACATAAATGTTTTCCATTGGGATTTAATGTGAAACACAAAGTGAAGAAGAGAGAAAATGATAAATGATTCAAAACAAGAGAAAAGCCATCCTGCAAACTCGTGTTGTTTTGATTTCCCCAACCTCCGTTTACTGCTGCTTTCATTGCTTTCGTTCTTCCTCTGCTCCTTACGATTCGTCTCGTGTGTGTGTGTGTGTGTGTGTGTATGTGTGTGTGTGTGTGTGTGTGTGTGTGTGTGTGTTTAATGCCCGCTCCACTGTGGTCTACAGCGTGTCTCCTGTGTTGTAGGTGTGGACGTGGCTCGAATACGGCAGGCGGGACAGATCGCTGGACAGAGCAGCACCAGGCGGCTGGGAGACAGCAGAGTGAAGATCAACTACTCTGAGATAGATCTGCTCAGGTGACGCCTGCCGTCGGCTTTCTGACTACGTTTACATGGATTCATGCAGGTTGTGTTGTCTTTGTGCTTTGTCCATTTCTGAGAAACCACCGACATGTGTTCACGTTGTATGCTGTAACACAGCATACAACTTGACTGATTGTGAAAAGCAAGACATTTATCTACAAATTTGAATTTGCTGATGTTTCTAATCCACACAGGAGCAAAATTTCACCAAGAGGCTCAGATACTTACAGATATTCACTCATGTTTTTGATAAAGTGTCAGAGAAGCAACATGATTTTTGTAGCTGTTGATCCTTTCTTATCCTAGGAGCCATATTTGCCTTCAGTCCAGCTAAATAACACCATACAGCTGCAAATGTTACAATAACTTTTGTTTTGACAACTTGAAAGTTTTGTTAAATGCTTACTTCAGAAAATTTCTTGTAATTCTTTTAAAGAACCCAATTTTTCTGTTTTTAAATCCTAAACTAAAGAAAAAAACATACATCCTTTGCAAAAAGAAGATTGATACATTTCCTTCTGTGAGATGTTGAAATTTATGGAAAATGGAGGGAAAAAGTAAATCATTTCCAAGATAATGACAAGTTTAGAGAACCGTTTAGGTCCACATTTAAACTCGTTACCTTTTGATTAAAGGTGCCGATAAGTCCTCTTCTTCTTTTTCTTGAATATAATACATTTTGTTCAACGCTCCGGTACAAATGCTAACAAAACCGGCCCTCAGCATGATGCTACCACCACCATGCTTCACAGCTGTTGTTGTGTTCTTAGCTTTGAAAACCTCACCTTGACTTTAACAAACATACATCCAATTTTTCTCCTTTTTCTTTTTTCATTTTTACCCAGAAGGCATTTTGTTTTGATGCAAATTTCAGTGAAAGTTGAAGCAGAGCCTTTCTTTTGGTGTGTGTGTTTTCTTGATCATCACATTCTCCGTCCATCATGAGAAAATAATCTCTCCAGGAATTTCCCTAGAGAGATTACATCATGTTTTGCTGGTTGAAGAAAATTCATAAGGAATTCAAATTCAAAGTTGTGTAGCCAATTGTTTTAAGAAAACCACAGATGTTGAATGTTATATAATGATTCCACCCCGGAAGAAAGACGCATCGTTAAACTCCTTGTCTGTAAACTCCTGTTGCATGAAATCAGTGCTGTGACTATTAAGGAAGTATTAGAAAGTGTTTAATCTCTCATCTCTACCTTTTGTTCTCATGGCCGTCATTACCATACCAGAGCCAAGCCTCTTTAAAGTGCTTTATTCACACACACAGACACACACATAGGGCTGTTGTAA